TAATAATAATAATAATAAGATTCTTATATGGCGCCTTACATTCTATCTCAAGGCGCCTTACAATAATGGCTAATATACTAAAATCATTAAAATGACTACAATATTTTAATCATAAACTCTCATTGGAAACCATTTAAAATTTACACTACTAAAAATCAATCTTATTAAAAAAAAAAAAAAAAAAAAAAAACATTCATATCGTTTTACTACTGAATTCACAGAATGGTCAGCGTGAGAACAAGAGCAAAATCGCACAATTTGACAAGTGGAGAAGATGATCATGTCTCAACTAACACAATTGCACAGAATTTTCTCTGTTGCTGCTGCTCTCTGCTTGCCCCCCCCTCCTTACTTCAAGTCCTTCTTAATAACTGTGTTCTCAGACAGCACCTCTATGCCTGTTACTTGTGACATTGCACCGACTATAGATCTACATTTCTAGACATTTCACTGGTAAAAGTAGTCTCGCGACAAACACCGCAAACATTTGACTTGAACTTGAAGCTTGTAGATCCAAGGAGTTATAACTCCTTGGTAGATCTAAGACTTTCATGCACGTACCTCGATTGAAAAAAAATTACTCTTGAATGGAGCTTTTTAAAATAAAGATATTTTATTTGTTCAAATCTATAAAGTATTATCTAAATAAAGAACTACAATAGCACAGAATGCAACCTAGTCAGCGTTTCACACATTTGTTGACAAAATTAGGTTTAAGCTATTACGCATGCGCATTAATTTTCAAAACGAGACTTGTCGCACGGTTTGAAGAAGGAAACGGAGGGAGCGAATAATAAAACTGATCAGGTAACATGCAGAAATTACTTGCTGTTGCCAATGGCTATTTTACATTGTCACGAACCTTCTTTCAGTTGTTGTGAATGTGCACCTGTTTGTATTTTTTGAAACTGAATGCTGATACACGTCTAGAGCTACGCTAAATCAGGATCTGACCTTGGGTGGATTCTCATTCTAGTATTCGTTCTCTGGTCCGACCACTGGTGTTGGCAAATTGATAAAATAATCACATTGATATTTGTTTGTTTTATTTCAGGACTTCTATAATTTATAGTAAAACCAACTTTTCAAAGATGACAGCTCGTGATTATATGTTTCCTGTGCTGGCTGTGGAGGACATTGTTGACTACTGCAGAATAACTTACCCAGATCTACATCTCACAGAAGGCGATTTCAAGAATCCACAGGTAACATTCCTCATTCAGTCGTATCCATAATCATAAATAAAGAATGGTCATTCACTGCAAGCTGCAGCATAATTTTCAGTAATGCAGGTTACTGTACTGTATATTGTGTTCAGGGACCTTTTTAATTTGACTTTTGAAACTAAGTGCTGAAGACAATTTTCACATTTTACTTGCATTTGTTTATATGAAATGAATATCTGTCCTGTTTTGATGAATTGATACACGCTCGGCTGTCACCTTGATTGGATAGTAAACGGTTGTCGTAAAATCGCTAAATGATATTAAAACCCGGTGCATAAACTTGAAAACCACCTAGGACAACCTTAGACTGCCACATTAATCCAATACAATGCAAAAATAAACTATAACAAGTGGTTAAAGCCTTCAAACCGAATGTCGTAAAGTCCCAATATACCTCCATAGAGACAATAAAATAGAGTCAGCTTGTGAAACAAGAAGCCACAATTTTAAACATAATAATTGAAATAAAATACTGCCGGGCATCGGAGCGGCCTAAAACTTGGCACGCTTACCGCAAATACTGCAGGCTACATCATCCCGTCGCTCGTTTGTTAATTCCGTGCATCAATCAAACCGTAAATCAAAATTCCACCTCTGATGTTTATATCGGTCCTCTCTAGCCTACCATTACGAAAAAGAAGCTATGCCATTGGACAATGCGACCTCTGCGGTTACGTCATTTCCTGAATTGGATTGGATTTGCGGTAAGCGTGCCAAGTTTTAGGCTGCTCCGATGCCCGGCAGTATTTTATTTCGATTATTATGTTTAAAATTGTGGCTTCTTGTTTCACAAGCTGACTCTATTTTATTGTCTCTATGGAGGTATATGGGGACTTTATGACATTCGGTTTGAAGGCTTTAACCACTTATTATAGTTTATTTTTGCATTGTATTGGATTAATGTGGCAGTCCAAGGTTGTCCTAGGTGGTTTTCAAGTTTATGCACCCGGTTTTAATATCATTTAGCGTTTTTACGACAATCGTTTACTATCCAATCAAGGTGACAGCCGAGCGTGAATTGATACTGTATTATTTGTATATATTTTTCTTTATAGCCTGCAAAACTTCAGCGTTTTTACCTTTTGGTATTGGAAGACACAAGTGGAATCAATCCGGATCAACTTGGACAAGTGAGCATTCTTGGTTGATAAAGAAACAATTAAGGGTTTTACCTATTGTACGGCTTGATAGATTATAAAGTTCTTATGGCTGAATGACTTGTTAAAATCTGTTGTTGAGGTGAAAATTGGTGAATTCAATCCATTAAATCTGTTTCTTTTAATTTCTTTGTTAAATCACTGTATATGTTTCATCTGTGATGTCTTGTTTGAAACTTTCCATCAATATTTGAATCAGTATGTTATTTAATTTTTTTATTTGATTTCAGGCCCAGTTTCATGAGACTGATGTGTTTGAACATCCCACTGTTTACGAGGAGGCTGTGCCACTCTTGAAATTCACACTGTCCATGTAAGGTGTTCTTGTTCTTAATAACCTTTTATTCATGTTGTGTTCATTTTATTTGTAGAAAATACCACCAATGGTCCCTTTAAATTAAAAGCAAATATAAACTGCAAGTTGACATGTCACTTTACCAGACCAGATGCCACCATATAGCTTCAAATAGCATAACTTAAAGGAATATGAAATAATATTGATTCCTGTTTTCCCAAAAAATTATATTTGAATAGGTATTTTTTCGTTTTTCTTTTTCTGTGCTACATATATGAATGACCCTTTGTCTTTTCTGCCAACTCTTGTTTGAATAATCATGCTATTGCATTCACAGCAGTAATGCATCATAAAGTTGAGGAGGGTGCAGTTTGAAAGCTTTCTTTGACTGACAGTGTTATTAATCTGGTTTATCCTGTAGCATAGGACTTTATTTGAGTCGAATATAAAACTGGTAGTCATGATCTTATGCATCACAGGGAATCTACATTCACTTAATATATATCTTCAAAATAAATTTCAACTGGCAATCTTTAATACTAAATTTACCATACCAACTGTCTATAAATATGTTGTTTTCTGGGGAATTTGTTTCCTTCATGATTGCTGTTACAGTTGCTCACTTTGTTTCTAATGTGTTAGGCAAAGGTTGATGTATGCTTGTGGGGTGCAAGATTTCAAGCTAAGGGACCTGGTTGAACCAAGTGAGTAATACAGCAACTGATAAATATAACAAAAGTTTAATATCCTGTTCAGTCATACAGATCCAATTAATTTAATTGTGGTTGATATTTTATGGAGTTGTTTTTAGAATATATATGATAAATGTAACTGGGATAATTTTATGAAGTTCATATATTTTTATGAAGTCGACTAGACACAGGGTTAATACATTGTTAGTACATTGTTAACTGGAAATGTTGCAATGATATATGATCTTGCATTTTATGTACAATATTGAATAGAATAATGCACTGTTTGGTTTTGTATAATGGTATTTTTATATTGTTTCAGAACCAAAGAGAACAGTCAGATTGGTCAGTGCTTTGATCAACTTCAGCAGGTTTCAAAACCAAAGAATGGAGGAAGTTGAAAGACTTAAGAATGAAAATGTGAGCAAGTGAAATTTGATTACATTTCTCTTTTATTTATTTATTTATTTATTTATTTATTTATTTATTTATTTATTTATTTATTTATTTATTTATTTATTTATTTATTTTTTGAAAATGTTTTTTTAATTAGCTCTAATGATACAGGATGTAGGTTTGTAGTTTGTTGCTGTACATAATATGTTCTCTCCCTCTTTTTCTCACCATATACATTTATTTATTTCTTGGTGTTTTTATTCACATCAGGCAGCAGTGAAAGAACAGCATGAGCAGTTATTAAGAGTTAATGATGAGTTAAAGACAAAGATTAACCATATTAGAGCATCCAGGGCAGAACAAGAACCAGAATTGAAAAAGGTAAACTGAGGTTATATAAATTTTGTTGTCATGAATATAACGGTCCATATCTGAACCATATGATACCTAATTATTAAATAAACTTCTTTTTCATATTTGGGAAAGTACTTCTTAAGTATTTGTGATTTTACATTTTAAAACTGAAATGTTTTATTCTTGACTTTAATTGATTTGTGAATTTTTGCATCCTTTGAATAATTTTTTAAATAATGTTTATTTAACTTGAAATACCAATATATGTTTTAAAAAAAGAATACACATTTTCGTTTCTTTCTTTCTGCAGCTTCAAGGAGAATTTGAAGAAATGAGTATGAAAATTGAGAAGCACCATAAAGATCAACTTGCTCTGCAGAAGACACTGAAAGAGATGAAAGAGGGCATTGCAGAGAAAAAGGCTTCCATTGTAAGCAACTTAAAATAGAAACTTTTGAATCAGATTTTCTATATTGCTTAGTTAAATTATATCTTAGAATCAGATTACATATCTTTATACATTGGAAGGTAGTTATAAGTAAAGAGAAAATACAGTTAGCTTATTGCTCTGTATTAACATTGGTTTCAAAACAGTCATATTAGCATATGCTATGTCAGAAGTATTGCAGTGGCTTAGTAATTCACATGCACTTTTTAGGATCATCTTAAAGTCCAAATGCTAAGTGCCAAAGAAGAGGGTGATCGGCTATCAAGGCAGATTGTCCAGTCCCCTGAGCGAATGAAGACAGAAGGGGAACGCATGAGAAACCAACTGATGCAGCTGAAGATGACGAAAGAAGAGCGACAGCAGAGGGGTCTGGAACTTAGGCAACAGGTGGAGCGTCTGGAACAGATCGACAGCCACTGTGAACAGGGGGTCAAACTCATCACTGGAATAGATGCAGAGCTGGAGAGGGAAAGGTACCATCAGCAGTCTTATCTCTTGTGGATGGCATCATTGTGAATTATATATGCATACAGCATCCAGATAACTGACTATAACATCCATCCCCATGACTCATACTGTATGCACCTTTTGAAAACTAATATAATTGACATAAATATTCCTTTTTCTTTCCAGCTGAATTTCTTCTACACCACAGCTATAACAAAATTAGTAGAATTCTATTTCTATCATTTCCGTTCATGTTGCTGGAGAGTTTTAGATCTCATGATTTCCATCATTTTACATATTTAAGAGAAATCCCGGATTTAATATTTCCTTTCATTTAATTTAATTTTTCAGAGTAGTCCTGAATTTCATAATTTGCGTCAGTGATTGCCTCTTAGGAAATTAAGTTGCTAGACCGAAAGCTCAGCCATCTTGAAAATTAGCTGGCTAGAATGCCTGCCGGGTGGGAAAACTTCTCTGCCCGTTCTGAAAGTTGTCTGCCCCGGGCAGACGGTCCAGCCTTAATTTCTAACACTGATTTGCATCATTTAATTTCATTTCTAATTACAGGAAACTGCTAGACTCGTTTCACTTTCAGGGAAGTGCTGATTTTATGATATCTGATATTTTTCTCCATATTTCAGAGAAATCCTGGATTTTATTATTTCCGTCATTGCACTTTATTTTTAAGAGAAGTCAAGAATTTCCAATTTTCTCATTTCATTTCTTATTACCAAGAAGTACTGGATTTGATAATTTCCATTAATTCACTTTATATAACAGAAAGAGTCTTGCATTATTTGATTTCCATCATTTCAATTCACATGTACCAGAAAAAGTGAGATTTAATAATCCCATCCCATATTTCAGGGAGGTGTTGGCAGAAGTGACCAATATCAGGGACAGGGTCCAGAGCCAAAAAGATGTCCTGAGAGACCTAACCGCCAAAGAGCAGCAGCTGCGGCGCATGCTGTCCACCAAACAGGAGAAGATGGCCAAGTTAAATATCCAACTTCAGAACAAGGTGTCTGCTGGCATGGAGACGCTGGAACAGTACAAACAGTAAGCACATGACTGCTGTGGTCAGAGGCCTGTTTACACAGGAATTTTTTGACCAAATTTGGTCTCAACTTTTAGACCAAAATAATATATTTTTGACGACTTTGAATACTACATTAAAGAAGCTGTTTTGAAAGAAAAAAGAGAAATGGCATTTGTTTAAAACCAGCATTGAAGTGGACTAGTGTAGATTTATAGTGAACTGAATTAGAGCAAATCTTGGTCTTTTTTAAGGGAAAGGGCACATTATGCAGCCTTGCAAAGTGAAGATGAATCACAGAAAAAAGCTATAGAACAACAAAAGCAAGCACTAATGGAAGAGGCAGCAAATAACAGGAAACGACATGAGAAGCTTATGACTGAGATGGCACATGAAAAGTCGCAGTTGCTGGAACAGGTATATCGAGTCTTTGAGATAATTTTGTCTGCAACATGCTACCAATGTTAGTGCTGATGAACCTGGTTAGCTTGCCAATAGGCCTGATTTTGTAGAACACACCCTGCAGTACAGATTGTTGATAAAATTCTTACATCTGTCCCAGTTTTTTTTTTTTTCCTGAAAACTTTGATAATATCTTTTTCTTTTTTCAGCTGGATTCCTACCATACCACACTAGGTATCAAATGGCAAGAAGTGGCACAGAAGATCCAGGCTAATTCATAAGAGATGATTCGAGTGCCAAGTTTTGCCAAAATTCAAGAGGGACTCTTTATCTACCTTGATCTAAAGCATAGACATTTGGGTACTGGGTATGTAAGCCACTGTGTGCTGAACACTGCCATCACCATGAGACATAGCTTCTGTTATGATTAAAATCCCAAATAACAAGACACTGTATATTCAAACTGCTAAATGCCAAAGCAGTACTATTACTTTGTTTGGGAAATGTTTATGGCAGTTTGAGATTCAATTACTGATTGCTATCGTAATCACCTCTCCATTTTTGATCGAAACTTGGTGGTTTAATTGTGGTGTAGAATTGTCGCCTGCTGTATTCCTAGTCAGGAATTTTGTCATCTGAACACCCCCTTAGATTTGCTGTATATATTGTAAAAAAAGTAAATGCCAAAACAGATTTTCATGAAAGGCTATTGTAAATATATCATTTTATAAAAAACAGAACTGTTAGAATATTGTATATCAAGGAAACCAAATAAGGCAGTCGTTGGCAGGTTATAGTGTGCCAATAATGTAATGACACTCAAAATATTTCCACGAGAAGAGGTTATATTTTTTGATTACATTCACAATATATATTCCTTGTTGTAGTATTTTCTTTTCCCGTTTTCAAGTTTTGTACAGACACATTTATGAATAAGATTGTTCATGATTCCAAAAAAATAGGATTTCCTGATGTATTAGTAATTATGGTAATCACTTACTTTGGAACAATTATTAGTGCATCATAAAGCTGAATGAAGTTGTCTTTGCATTTGTTAGTTTTAGCTGGCTTGATCTCTTTTTTGTAAGTCATTCATTTGTGATTGTACATAAATGGTTGATGCAGTTACAGACTTATTAATTTGTTGTTAAAAATTGCAAGTTACATTAGATTGCAAAAGACGTGATAGTAAAACACTTCTTTATTATGTAATATATACACATGTACATAGGGATACATACATATCTATAAATAAATAGCATTATCTTAAACTAACTTTCAGTTGTTCTTCATTGTCTGAGACCATCAAGGAACTTGATCAGAGAAAACAATATTTACAACTAAAATTTGTTCCTCGCCAAATGATAAAAAAAATTATCAAAGTGTGACAGTGATGGCTGTCAACTTTCCCCATCTTTCTTACTATAGTTTCTGATCTTTGGTTTCTGTGATTTCTTTGGCATTAACTTCCCTGCAGCTTTATCTGACAGTTTTTTGTCTGGTTTGCCTTTGTGGTCAACAAAGCTGGGTTTAGTTCCCTGAACTGACCACTGGTTCAATGGTCCACCTTGACCGTGGTCACTTGTTCTCTGGTGGGGGTCATACTGGTCATTTTGTGGCCAAACTTGTCCATTGTGTGATAGCTGATCTGAGCCTAAAACACAGGAATAAAAAACTGTTTTAAAATTTAACACATAGAGTGCAGAATGCCCTATGCTATATATACCCAGTGTTCAGAACCAAGGCATGCCAGCTTCATTTTCAAATTTCTAAATATATAAGCAATTAAAAAATTTTAAACTAAATACACCCACTTACACACACATGGTCTATTGTACAACTGCCTCATAGTTTTCTAGATTTTAAAAATGAAGAAACTGGCACCATCAGATCAGATTCTGAAGTTGAGGCACCTGTACTACTAGTGTTAACCACAACAAAAGTATTCATCTAATTGAAAATACATTTGAGGTAAAGCTATCTTGTCATTGACCATTATAATGATACCATTTGGTTTCTTTCATAAGCTTTCTATGTAAATATATACATATGTAAATCTCTGTATTTTTCATAAGATGATTTCTGCAAATCCATTAAATTGTATAATTAGACAAAATTTTAAGAAATCAATACTTGAATGATGTACAGGAAAATTTTACACAATGGTTGTAGCTTATTTATCAGATAAAGTATGAGTGCCACCCTGCCCCTATAGAGAAAAAGACTACTATTAAAGCAGCATGAAAAAAATAAATGATCACTGTAATAAATTTCACTTGAATAAATTTTTTTTAAAATAAAATTTGATAAAAAACGTGTAATGAGTATAATTCAATATCAAATGTAAAACACACACATTAATAAAGTTTAGGAGACAAAATTATGACCATACCAATCCCCACATTGCTGTCCCTGGGGGTGAACAGAGATGGGCTCTGGCCTTCATCTAGCATCCTCCAAACCTCTTGCAGGGACTCTCCCCCAAGGGATGACCCTGTTGCCAAGGGTACAAAGGGGGAGGAGGTCCGCTGCAGACCATTCTGTCCTGGCTGACCTGGGGCAGTGGAGGGTCTGGAGTCTGGAACTGGAACAGGGTCCCAGGTCCCTGGTGCACTTACGGGTCTCACTGATGTGAAATGATAATAAAAATAATAATAATAATAATAATAATAATAATAATATAGTCTTATTTACTTTGTTGTTTGGAACTGAAATAGGTTATTATGATGCCAGAGCTGTTATTTTTTCAGATATATCTCATTTATTTTCCTGGTCACAAATACCCCCCCCCCTCCCCATCATTTCTGTTCCATACCTGGATAGCCATATTGGTAATTCTGTTCCACATCAGACTGCTGTCTCTTCAGAATGGACTGTGGTCTGTACTCCTCTTCCTGGCTCTCACTGGAGCTGGGTTCTAGAAGCATGGCTGTCATGGCTTCATCTCCTGCAGGTGCCCTTCTTTGCTGGGCTAATTCCTTCATGATATAAAGATGTTATTTTTTATTTTACTTACATTTACAAAATATACCAGAACAACAGAAAGTGCACAGTTACAATGAATACACAAAGATGATGTTGTTCTGTTCCTTGAAAACAACATAAACTACAACGCAATTTTCCTGACAATAAAACAATGAGATACTTAAGTACAAAAGATTGTTTTATCTTTGTTATATTTGTAAACAAGATGTAAAGCGTGGATCAGTTTTGCAAGAGAATTAAAGAACATGTCCGTCTCAATTTTAAAGCTATTTTCATGAAAATAAATAAATAGATAAATAAATGCAGTTTCCCTTTCCACCATCTCCTTTCTAACAAATCTTTTTGTTTCCAATCTACTTTACCTGCTTGGTGAGTTGATACTGCAGCTGTTCAAGCTCTGTAAGTTTATTCTGCACTGCCTGTGATATTCTGCCTGTTGCCACTGGTTTAGCAGGTGCTGGCAGTGGCATTACTTTGGGTGGAAGTCTGGGAGGGGTGGGTAGCCTTATGCCTGAAATTCATGATGTGTAAATTCTGCTAAAATGGTCACAGTCTTTTCACAAGAGGAGAATAGACACTGAAATATTGGAGTGGAAAAAAACTTGATCTCATCTGCTGTCATAAAGAAACTATATATTACTCTTTAATACCAGTAATAATATTAGTGCTGAGCAAAACTTGACTGGACAGCAGAAAATGCATTAAAAAAAGGGACTGGTCACAATAATTTGAAATATAGTTCTTTGTTACACAACGCCAAAATTATCTAATGCATGAAAGTATTATAATACCAAATCTATACAAAAATATCCAAGTCACCAGAAATTCTTTATTCATGAATGGCAACATATAATTTTTAGAGCAGAAAAACTTTATTTTGTCATCTGTTTATAAATAACATTCTACAAAATTCAGTCTATTTTTTAACTTAAACAGACAAACAACCTTAAAGAAAAACATTCTTGTTTCATCTACATGCTGAAAAGAATACTTTTTTATTTAAAATAATGGTGCCCTGTGCCACTCTCTCCCTTTTTCACAATTGACCCACCGTGATTCATGAGTATTGCCCTCTGCCTGTTCCCAACCTCTATCAGTTGTTGTTTCTCTTTCGCCAACTGCGTGATGTGCTTGGCAGCTTGTTTTAGCTTGCTACGAAGTTGATCAACTGTCGCACCTTCCGCAGGGCCTCTGATTGGTTGGTCAGGGATCATGGGGTCAGGTCTGCCAGCGAGTTTGTTTTGTAGTCTTTTGATCTCATCTTCCAACTGCTGTATCATGAGCTCCTGAAAAAGATAATAACTAACAGGAATAAATAAATACATCTAAAAAAACTTGAAAAAAATCATGTAATATATGATAAACTTAAAGTTTAATATGTATATACCAATTAAAACTAAGTGTTTGCTCCACCCGTCTATTCCATTACAATGCTGAAATCAAGTATCAATTTTGGGGGATTATAATTGCAAATCTGAATACAGTTACTTCTGAAGTGTCAAAGTTCCATTATATTTAAAGTGACTCTATGGTTAACACTGTTCATATCTCAATGTAGAGTGGCATGCAAATCCAATACCAACCAGTGCAAGTTGATGCAAGTGATGTATTACGTACCTGACCTCCATAGTTTATTCCTGGCGTCTTCTGTGCCAAGTCAACTTTGAGGCTTGATAACTACAAAATAAATAAATAAATAAATAAATAACAGCAAATTGATCAAAACAAGTTCAGATATTTGATCTTATACAAAAAATGAAAAAAAGATTAACAAGTGTGTGGCACTCAATTGAAAGTTCTGGATCAATTATACACACACACACATGCATTAAGCACACATGCACACACTCAATGAAAACAACAATTTAGTATTCATTGAAAACTGAAATAAAATCATCAAATACATGGACACAGAGATCAGTTCATAAGACTTAGCCCAAGTCTTCATTTCTTCATTTGAACAGCCCTGTGCTTCTTTAAAAAATGATGTCCATAAACCTTCTTAAAACTTGCAATTCTACATGAAATTTCAAATCCAAGGAACATACGAAACTAACTGCTTGATGCTGCATACAATTAGGTTATTTCTGAGTTTGGAACTTTGAAGCATTGAAAATAGCAATACAGAGAAGATGCAAGAACAAGAAAATGTGTCAATTACACAATAATGTTTTTTTTTGTTTTTTTGTTTTTTTTTTTTTTTTGCGATAAAATTCCACCTCTTTTGTGTTTAAATTTCTGACTTCCACCTCACGTATCAGAGCCATTATAACAAAGCACATGTCTCCAGCGCAGGTGGACACTATTATGTGCGAAATAAAGGTCAATATCATAAGCCCCTAAAACATTTCCATCCAAAGAAAGTACTACATTTGACAAGAAAGAAAAGGTTAATGGCCATGAAATATTGCAATCAAAATTTATAAATAACTCTGACCAATATCAAAGGCATTATGTAGCAAGCTTGATCTCCCCTGAATAAATTAGGCATTTTTTTTTTACTTTGTTTCTTGTAATCCATTATTATTCTTGTCAGGCAGCAAAACAATAACAAATTTGTAGAGCATCTTGAACAGCTGACACCAAGCACAGCATGGTCGTTGTTCAACACTGTAAACACATGATTTTTATTCAACATAGAACTTTGGCATAGTTTCATGAAAAAAAAAAAAAAGCGGAAAAAAATTTTCATGTGCTCAAGATTCACCTTTTCAAATTTTCATTCATAAATTTTCTGTATATAAGTATTTTTTAAGTTAAGGGAAGAAAAAAGTGATATATTCCCTTATAAGAATAATCAAGCCACTTATGGCCATGATTTTCAAGAAGTTTATAAGGAGAAGCTTTTGTGCTTGGAATAACCTTTTGTTATTATGCATAACATATGAACTTCAGCACAAAAACTCTTCAAGGTTGTTCTAGATATAGGACTCAATTAACATACAGTCTTGAAAATGCTTGACAATGTTGATGTTGTGTATGTGCATGCGTGTGTGCATGCATGTGTGTGGGTGCAAACATGCATGCAGTTTGTTAATTTCTGTGTAAGTGTCAACATCAAGTAAATGAAACTAGGATAAAATGCTATCAACAAAGACAATATCAAAATAGAACAGAAAATAGAGTTTGCAAACAAGTAACTTTCTGCTTCAATGCTGAATGTTAATTTCATTATTAACAGAAAAGAAAACTGCTATTCCGCTATCGCTATCAATTATTAAAATATTCTCCTATAATGTCTGAAAGTCATTATTAATGCATTATTCTTTTTTTTTATATCAATCCAAACGTGCAGCAGCATCATCAAAGTTTGGGAGGTAATTATGTTAAGTAGGTGTAGCTGCAGAACAAAATGGGTTCCATGAGTCATTAATTCCAGAGTCTATAGAAAAAAAAAATGACTCAACATTCCAAGGGATGTTCATATTATCTTGCTTAAAATTCTCACAGTCCACCCAAATCTTAAAGTTAACAACTTAAGGTGGGTATGGGAATTTTCATCTGAACCAGGAATTATATGACATCACAAACACGCCAAAAACATGACAGTCGTATCATGCAAATGACTCTTTTCAGTCACTTGACAAGTTGGCTAATGGCTTTTCATCAAGGAACAATTAGCTACGGATCTTACCACCCTTGCGTTCCAGTCAAGTTTTGCCCGTTGTTAACTGTAACCACAAAGTTGGCCGAAAGAATGCAGTGAAAAATTAGGTAAACCTTGTGAGCTGTACCATACTCCCATTATGGCTTGCCTAGCATAATAATAAGACGGCTGAAGTGGGAGGTGATACTGTCACTCATAAATAAATCAGAGGATCTACAAATGTCCCCAGTATTAGGGGGAAACTACTTGACTGATTCAGTTTGAGGCTCCAACACTATCCTTAATGGACAGAATATTTTCGTGTCAATGTTTTACTCTTCGGAGTTACATTAAGTGAATATCGTACAAAAGATAAAAGACTCTACTTAGAAACTTTTGGAACATGGAAGATTCAGTCTAACAAGAAGGTGAGTTTGAAAGCCGTACAGGCAATGTCTGCCACTGCCAGTTGTTTAAAAACCAATTGGTGTCTTTGGTGTCTTATTCTGGCACGTTTCAACATAATAAATGGGTTATAAGAATATAAATCTTAACCCATAATGAATAATGTCACCAACCATAACTTCTCGAAAGTTAATGTTTACAAATCAAGAGAGTAGTTCTAAGAAATTTGTGGGATTAGATATGGAAAAATATTCAATGGACATTCTTTTGATCTTTATATTAATTTTCTTGCCCTCAGGAACTATCAGCCTACCTATTAACCAAAAAATACTGTTATACTTACATTATTTGAAAATTGTATTTAGCTGATAAGGAAAAAAAGTACTGTCTATATTATTTTCAATGCTGACAAATATGGTATCTTTATACATAGGCAGAACTCCCTGTTCATCAGGCACATGACAGATTTCCAGGACATAAAAAAAAACAGGTCCCAAAAATAACAAAAGAACTGATACTGTCCATCCAAGTGTTAAAAACAGTCTTCAATGCCAAGAGATGAAAGTGGACCTATAAAAAACAGTTATGAAAATGCAAAATCCATGGAAACAGTGCTTTTTGTGAGGGTCTGGGGGCATAAATACAACACCTAAATTTCTGTATAAATTTGAAAAACTTTCCTCTCGAATTTTATTTCTTTTCTTCCCCTTGGAAGCTGAAAATCTAATATGTTATTGGGTAATGAGGACAGTTTCACAAAAACACCTTATGCTCAAAGATGGCTCTTTACTTATAGACTAAAATTCTGGTCTACTTCAATTTAGATGTAAATCAGTGCACTAAAATAGAATAACTATTACACAGGTTTTAAGTACCAGGAATTTGTTCTTATTAAAAAGGTGCAATATTTCATTTGATTAGGCTATTACAGATTTATTTCTTTAGACAAAGTTAAGTTATTTTGTGAAACAGGTCCCAATTTGAGATTTTGCCAACTAAAAAATGCTTGTGCATAGTAAATTGGCCAAAAGTGGACTATTGGTATCCTTTTAGCATTTACTTTGGCCTAATTTCCATGCCCAATTTGGCAAGTGGTGAAAAATTAAAGATTGCCACTCTGCCACAAGAATAGTGGTGTTTATTTTTGTTAATACATAACCACTGCAACCACTGTTATGCTTATTTACAGAAAAAACTTAATCCAGAATCGCAATTTCTCAAATATCTCTTATCACTTTCTGCACTATGTATCAAGAGCTACGTTTGGTATGGTCCATAATTTTTTTCCTAAATATTTAATAAGCCATCTTTTTTAAAGCAAAACTGACCAGCATTTTTTCCTAAGCTCTTTTTTTTTGTCTGCTAACAATACTTAACTTAAAACATATCAATGGTTTCAGTTACACTTAGTTAAGGAGTAATGCTCTCTTTCCTTGAATCATATTGCCACTTCCCTTTAAAATTTTTTAATTAGATGATAAAACAGAATATTTACAAACTAGAAAAGCACTCCGAGAGCACAGACCCCCACCAAGGTAGCAATTTTTGATTATTATTGATCTGGACCACCACCAAAAACTAATCATCTGTTCCTTGGCCCACTTCTGACAGTTCCTGAAAATTTCATCAAAATCGGTCCATAACTTTTTGAGTTATGTTGATGACAGACAGACAGAAAGACAAACAAATAAACAGGGATGAAAACATAACCTCCTTGGTGGAGGTAAATATCAGATGCACACAAGGAGTTTTAAACCTTTGCATAGAAAAAAATCCTAAGAATTAAGAACTTCTGCATAGATTTTGGATAAGGTATATCTTTCTGAAATTTCCAGGAAGTTTTTCTATATGCTTTATAAAAGTGAAATGCACTCTGTACCCCTTCAAAGATAGATAACCACATTTAATAAGACTAATGTGAAAGTAAATAAAAAATTTCAAGAATACTTGAGTGTCTGTGAAGGTGAGTTAATAAGGAATTACACTTATCAATGAAAAAAAAACAAAAAAAAAAAAAACAAAACATAATTTAGAAAAAAATTAGACTAACACCAAGAACAAAATCTCTGAGGAAGAGGCTGCTGAAAAAAATTTCTCATCCAATTAATTTTACAGGACATCATCTAAAAAGAAAAGAAAAGAAAAAGAAAAACAGCATAGCACCAATAATATTTTAGAATGAGCGAAAAGCTAATAGAGAAAAAGCACTTAATTCTACAAGTATGAATGACTCATATATTCATCCACTTTAAAGGCACCCTATGAGATAAGGTTACTAGATCATCTTGGGGAAATCTCTTAATCTTCTAAACTGCGCGACATTGAGGTTAACAAAGAGGCCATGATATGAGATTAAATATGCTAAGTGATTATTCACTTGAAATTATTTTTTATCACAAATGGAAATGGTGACCTTAATTGGATGCAGGATTGGTAAGCTTGCCTTAAGTTGCTGCAATTACAGATCAAAATTGGTATGCATGCAGAAATCAAATTAACATATTATAAACAAAATGTGTGTTAACTCCATACATGTTAAGTTTCATTGATGCTGATTAAAATTGCCAGAAAATGTTTTTGGAAAATTTTCAGATCCCAATAATTTTTTTTTTAATTTGCAAAACATGTAATCAAATTAACATATCATAAATAAAGCATCAGGTGTGCAAACCTAATGCCTGTTGTTAAGTTTCATTGAAGCTAATTAAAGTGCAACTTGGTAGGTGTTTTTTCTCGTATTTTAAGTTCCAGACATCTAACACGATGTTAATCAAAACAAATGAACCTAAAATGAATGCTCACAAATTCCCCAATCAATGTCAATTGAGCGTGCAGCGCTTTCTCGCGAAATATTCGTGACGTCATGAGAGGAACCCCTCAGACGGGGCCCCGCTTAGATAACCCGTCAGTTCTGAGACACAGTAAACAAGGTTAGACGTAGTAGTGTCGGCGGGTGCTCGAACACTAGTGAAAATGAAGGTATTTTGATGCACAAATTTCCAAAAGAGCTAGAAGTGGTCCAGAACAGAAGTGGAAAAAGTTTGTCAATTTGACAAGAGTATGGGAGTTAGACGCGAAAGCAGCTATCGCAAACCACTCGGCGATATATGTACTGTAGAGCTCATTTCGAGGAGGCTTGCTTTGACGAGGGACAGCAAATGAAGATTCGGCATGCTTTTGCTCAGTAAGTTCACAATTTTGGTCATTTTTATCTTAATCTTACAACTTCGTCTGAGACTTGTAACATTTTTAATTTTACGGTTACCCTGATTCGCGACGGATTTATAGCGATATGTCTGTGATTTCGGAGTTAAGAGCCGATCTCAATGAACTAACTTCGCGTTTTCGTTTTGTTTTCATTTTAATAAGATAATGACCACTTGGTACATTGTGCGTTAATCTAGTATTGAGCAAGTTATTTATTAATAACATGCTGAGGCTATTTTGTGCAATTTTTCTGTGCTAAAGCTCCCAAAGCTTTGACCGTAACGATCAGCGGAAGCCAGCTGACTCCGAAACTGGCGTGTCATGCATTTCAGCAATGTGGTATGTGCTTGTTCAATTTCTAAATTTACCGACTGTAATACATTTTTGCGCTTTTAGGTTACCAAGACGGACGCCTAGGGCGGTGCCCACTATCCGCCCGCATCAGAGAATCGTTCAAGTCGGGGAAGAGGCAGAGTTCATAGTCAGAGTTATGTTCATATTTCAGTGCTAGAAATAGAGAGAATGTCGGAGAAAATTTATGAACCTCAGAATACTGCAGGTGATAAAGTGCGACAGGTTAGTGTGCATGAGTCCCCCCCCCCCCCCGAAAAAAAAGGAAGACAGAAAAATGGAAGAAAAATTGGCAGTTGCTAATGCAAATTGTTGAGCAGTAACAGCAATATCCATTTGCTCATTCTTTTTTATATCAATTTTACTATCTTTATTTACTTATTTTAACATGGTAAACAGTATTTCTTTTGCAGATGCATGCATTCATTTACATGTCTCATGTATACATATTCATATATACATACATTTATTCTTGCTAATTGTATTCCAGATTATGTAACAGAACTCATAGACATTACAAAATACCTTGCCGTATAAAAAGCAGAAGCCAGGCAAAAACATCAACAATTTACTCAAGGAATCCCTGAATCTCTAGCTGCAGGGCAACCAGATATTGATAAAGAGGAGCTGATAGATAAACTGTGCACAAGAAACCCAAACAAGTTCATTTAATCTTGGGTCATGAATAACGACATTACATGTAATCAAAAATTAAAAAAACTTCGATTTTGTGTACTCCTCTACAGGTGTGTCTCAGGGCAGTTTCTTTTGTTACATGTAATATAAGTATACTGACAGTCAACAAAAACTTTGTTTTTGGAAGGTGCCATTTTCTCAAGTTTTTGTTTTGAAATTATTCTTGAAAATTAACATTTTGGTGCCTCTTGGTGTATCAAGCACACTTTTCATTTAAACATGACCAATGCACCATGTCCTTTTTTCAGTTTAATTGGATATGTAAAGTTTACTGGTCTTTGAAGCCAGTGAAGTGCTCTTCTTCTGAAGGTGGGGGTAGTGGGCTCCTATGCAGCTAACTGCACAACTGGGCATTGTGACCCTAATCTTCTTACTCAGCCACCCCCAAACCCAGCGGACAAATTTTCTGTAAGCTATGTGCCTCAGTCTTTGATCCTCTCGTCCTTCAAAGGCTTTCCCCCCATGTTGCTGCCTGAACTGCATCCAAGCAGTTTCGAGTACCCACTTGTTCAGGCAGACTGGCTCAAACCCTGGGTGGTCAGTTATGCACTGCACATTCTCCTCTTTGCTTTTGTCCTGTACTACAACTACTACTTCATGACAGCAGACATTTTCTGATACACCTGGCAGGATTGGGCAATGTCCACAGGTGCACCTGTAATTAAATTAAATTAATTGATCCAAAATTATGGTTGCAAATTAAAATTACTTTTATAACCAAGCACTTGCTGCCAACCACAGGGAGTCTCCCTTCTTAACTAATCCAACATGTAATCCAACATTACATCACAATGACCAGCAAGCCTGGCAAATAATTTTATTCCAAAAATCTTGGTTATAAATATATTTTAACTAGGCCCATCTTATATTTGGATGCCAATAAAGTATTCTAACATCTAACAGTGAATGTATTCAATGTGTATACAAATAAATAGATCATAAAATTACTCTGCCCTGCCAGTAATGTTTATGGGCCATATTTGAAAATAAAAATACATGATTTACATGCACCTTTCTTCTATATACATTATACATGCACTTCAAGAATTTATATATGTATATGTTATACATTTGGCGTGCACCTCAATGACTGTTTGCACTTGAAAGTGAATAGAGAATTATAGTGAATTTAGATTAATTTATACTTGAAGGAATGTGGGCTGCTAATTGTGTTGGGTAACTGCTGGGACCACTTCAATTGACATAAATAAAAACCCAATTCAAATAAACATTGCTTTACTTCATTTTTCTGTCGTGTACTGGTACATATGTACATCATGTAAATATCAGATGTGTACGTGTTGATTGTTCCATGTATTGTTATGATACGTGAACTATCCCCTTATTTCACTGTAATACTACTGGTCGGAAAGTAGAATAAAACAGACGTTCAACAAAACGCACATTGTGTAGAGCACAGCAAAATTGTCCCATTACTGAGTAATTCACCACTATCTCACGAGGTTATTCAGAAAAAAACGGACATACCACTCACCTGTTTTGCGTCGGTCTTCACGGCGAACGCACTCCCTGCTCTCCGCAGCACTGGCATTGCTACTTGCATCCGGCGCTACGGTCCAAAACGTAGGGTTTCACCTGCGACAAAACTTGCCCCACGTCGTTCAAACTCAGGATACCCTCCTCCTCTTCTTAAAAAACGACTCATTCGTCTCCGACCAGCTTTCATTTTTACTCAAATCTTGATAAGTTTCGCGTGTAGAAGCGCTACTCCCAGCCATGTCTTCCCTAGATGACGTCACAGCCTCGTTCTGGTCATCTAGGTCAGGAAACCCCATGGGGATTCCCACATTCTAAATGCAATATTACGATGTTATGTAATTAACTAAACGGTCTGTAAAATGTCAAAATACGAAGGGTGGGCAATGTAGGTCATGTTGTCAGCTTTATTTTCAGCATAGTCTACAGTTTATTTTTACCTACCAAGTTGCACTTTAAAACACCAGAAAAAAGCCCAAATTCCAAATGTTTTTTTTTTTTTAATTTGGAAAACGCATAAAAACATAGAAAAAGTTCAAGATTTACAATAATTGTTACAGTAAAGGTGTCTATGTAAGTAAATATTCATTGAAATTGATTAATTACTTTTATCAATACTTTTGGATGAGATGACCAGACAAGATTACATAGACGGGCAGACAGACACACAGCAAGACAGACTGCCCAATACTGGTGGACCAGGGCTCCGTATCTCGAAAGGTTCGCAGGATGAGGGGCCAGTTTCACAAAAGGACTTTGATATTTTATATATATAATGTGATAAGAAAAATACTAAAATTTTTATGAACACTATTTATATGAAGTAAGGTTCACTTGTATTTTATATTTTCATGGGACACAATTCAATGGAAGGAATATACAAGCCTTGCCCTACTGACATTCCTTTAATGGGAGTTCTGCTTGGTTGCACTAAGCCATTTAGGCACACTATTCCACTTTTATTACAGCAGTGAGTTTATAAACTGTGACTACCAAATGTTCTTATGCTTTTGTGAAGAGAAAAACAAGAAATGGAAGAACAGAACGAATGGTTTTTGTGGTGCTTCATACACATTATACATAACTATTAAATTATAAGTAACACTTTTAGTGCCAGCTACTGCATCAAAGTATCAAGGTTTTCAAAGCATTTCTATTTAATTTAGTAAAATTTAAGAAAATTAATTTCATTTATCTACTTGTTTGTACATGGCATACCAATTAAGTCACAAGCTCTTTGAGTCCTTATATTTTATTTAGTTTTTTAGATGAACGTTTTCTTTAAATTGCAATGCCTATTACTAACTAAAAGATGTTTTATCACCAGTCAAGGGCTAAAATCAAAACCCTAATCTGATAGAAGAAACTATCCAAGTAACTGAGCAATTAACACAGGTAATGGAATTCTTAACAGAGATCCACTACCTGCATCTAATCTTGTCTGAGTTGCAACAAAACATTTGTACTTTTAAAAAAATAGCACCAAGAACAATATCTTATTCATGCTATGTAGTTACGCGTTTACTTCACACAGGCAACTTCTTTGATAACCAAAATCTGGTAGCAACTAATGTATGGATAAAAAAACAGAGGTGGTATTCTATTCAGAATCAGACCTGAATAGAATACCAATAATACATCCACATCAGATAAAAACAACAAATGTCCAATTACGCACCAAAAATGTGCAGCACTTAATACCAGTTGCCATGGTTTTTTTAAACACCTCCCTCCCACCCCACCTTGTATCTTAACTTTGATCTGACTATTACCAAGCCCAAGGTTACCAAAGGTGTGGCAGACAGCCACAAAGAAACCACAAATTTTACCAAAAAAGAAAAAAAACAGACTTCAGCCACACTTCACTGCCTTAACTGGTGTTTTTTTTTTAACTTTCAAAACAACAAGAGGGAGTAAGCTGACATTCTCAGAGGTAGATTAACCTAACCTTGCAATGTGACAATGCCAAAGCAATGTTAGGATTCCTAGATCAAGGTATTTGAGTAAGAAAACTACCACCATTTTAGTCAATAAAGCCTAAACATCTACCCAAATGTATTTGCACATTTGTCTTGGGTACCAAATCCATCAAACAATTCACATTAATCTTTCCTCTTTTTTTGTTGGTCTGAGTAACTAAAGACTAAATGCCTACAGTGAAAGACTACTGAATAAGATGCCTTTTCTCTTCAAAACATATCATAAATTAAAAATAAATTAAAAAACAAATTAACAAAACATAAAATACAGACTACTGATCCCTTCCAAATTGAGAAAAATAGAATACCAAAATTTACAACAGTTCAACAATATTCTGATTATGTAATTTTTCTTACTAAGCTGTAATACATGTTGCTTTTTCATTCATCCATTACCTAATTTATCGTATATATATAGAATCATGTCAGCATAATACTTCTAGTCATGCACTGGCATAATAAGAAAATACAGAAAAACAAAGCAAAAAAGGGGGACTAAAATGACCTCTTTGATTATTGTTGGTATTTCTGTTGACCTAACAAATTTTGGCTCAGCTAAATAAGACCCACTCTCAGTCTTCACTTCCTTTGTGAAAACAGCCCCTCATTTTAGCCAAAACAAAATATTGAAAAGAAAAAATGGAGAGACCAAGTCCATTAACTATTTGTTATCACTTCAGGTGATTTGCCACCAGATGGAGCTGTGTCAGGTTGTGTTGATCGTGCTGGCTCACCTGACCACCTCGGCCTATCAGATTAAAGGAAACAGCACGCACATCTACTCTGATGCCCCGTACCCGGTAAAGAGGCCTCGGACCCAACTGTACATGACGGTATTTCCATTCTCGAAAGCCATATCCATACGTTGGGATTTAACTTCCTATGACTACATCACTGATATTACTGCAAAGTACAATGTTACCCCGGGATCACCGATCACTATATCAAATATCACCAGGTTTACCAAAGAGGTGAACATAACACACCTGCCAGCCAACAGACCTGTGACAGTTTGCTTACATGTTACGTTCAGCAATGAAAAACCAGTGCAAAAATGTAGCACAAAGACAACACTGAGGAAAATACAGCCCATTCCTCCTGTAAATAATGTTCAAGAGCTCAGCATTGAAGCCACTATCACTCTCTCAGTGCTGATAATACTTATTGTGGCTATAGCAGTAATATGCATCATATTTGCCAGGTATCAGAAAAAGCAAGCTCTGAAAAGACAGCAAGCCCGAGCACTGCGGGTAAGAGCTCGTATACAAGGCCGAGTGAGTCAAGACCCAAAGAAGGCAGCAATAGGTAAAATTCTAGAGCACAAACACCTCCCGCTGGACAGTAAGACTCTTACAGAGGACTGGAGTGTAAGCAGTGAGGTCAAAGTGCAAGACTGGCAACAGAATCGGATTAGTTTGGACTTTGAACCTCCGTCTGATGCCCCTGTGGTCGACACGGAGGACCTGGTCTTCTTCCAAAATCACACAAATGGTAAAATAAAACACGACGACGGCAAGTCGAGCAGTTTGAATTCACAAAGTAAAGTAGGCAGCAAGGCGTCTGATGAGAAGCCATCAACAGAAGAGAAGAGCAGTCTTAAGGAAGCTCATGAAAGTCCCAGTGCTACGCTCTCCCCTGAAGCAGCAGTTGCTGAGGATATAACGCCCAGGTCCTCTGAAGAAAATGTCCCAGCTGAAACTACGAAAACAACAGAGGAGAAAAAAACAAGTCGTAAGACTACCAGTGGTCCCCCAAGACGCAAAACACTGGAAGAAAAACTACGCTATGCACGAAAAATCAATGCAAAAGCAAATAGAATGAACAGCAAGTCAGGTACAGACAGGCGTTCTGGAAATAAAACATCGAGTGGCAAGAGAAGGAGTAGTAGGACTTCAGGAGAGAGATCTCGCTCCAGAAGTTCACACAAACAAGATGGCGAGTCTGGTGAAAGGCCCAGCAGCCATTCTACCTCTCAATCTAAAAGTCAACCAGCAGAATCACATAACCCCGTGTCTACAGACTGATATCTTGATGCCAAGATTAAACATAATGCAAAAAAAATTGTATATCAAAATATGAACTTTCCCTTACTCAATTGTACATATCTCAATTTTTTGAGTGATTTTTAATTTTTTTATGAAGTTAGTGCATATTAAATCATCAAATAGCATTTCAAAAAACCCTGACAACTCTACACCTTATGGCAATTATGTGCACCTTCAAATGGTTTCCCTGTACTGTTGAAGCATAATCCAGATAATTAGCCTGCCAGACTGTGACGACCAAGCAAAGGCCACCCAAGTAAATGTTTTCATATGCGCACCTAATGTTTAAACAATTTGTGGGCATGTTCTAAATTCTCAACCTAGACAGATTTACTTAATGGATCAGTGTGTAAAAAAATGCATATATTTTACAAAAATATAGTTAAAATGACTGTCAAAATATTAAAATTTTCATAATAAAAGCAAATAAGGTTTGTAATTAAAAAAAAATTTTTTTACAAGCCTTTCTGTGCTCATTACAATTGTCTGCTTCCCCCCACTTTTTTTGGAGGGAGGTTGAGAGAGAGGCTATGAACCAATGCTTATGTTTATGGCTCAAGAGAAAATAACTTGTAATGGCTGTTAGACTGCAATCTTCTCTTCAACATATCGGCATATTGCGGTTTAAAAACTTCAATGCCATTAATGAATAATTATCCTGCTATTATGAAAAGCTTTTAATTAATATTCTAAAATGTCCACCAGTAAAAATTACAGTTATGCATGCCTTTATCATTAAAATGTGCCCTTTGCCAAATAAGATATTTTTAACACTTACTCTCGACTATGAGATTTATCACCCTAGGATATTTTATCATATTTGAAATGTTCCAGTCAAAAATCCAACAATATATTATATCTGACCAAGTAAACAAGTTTCAAATAGTTCTTTGCATGTCAACCAAGATAAAATTACAGCGGGTTTAAATGGCAAAATTTATCATTTGTAAATACAGTGATTTACATCTACAAAACTGCAGTAATAAAATCAAACAATACACCTTTATATAATGGCAAAAAATGTAGAAAGTACAATATCTGTTTGAAGGGATCATAATTTTTTAAACATATTTATGCCTATTTATCATTGTGACATAAAAACCTCTCTAAAAAAGATGAAAATGACAATTTTATGTTTGATAATCAAAACAGCATCATAATACTTTCTTAATTCAGCAGAAAACGCCAAGATGCTAACTCATAAAAACTACTTTTGAGAAGTTTTCAATATATGACAGACAAAACTGCATCTTCAGCTTTTGAAATAACACTGCCACACAGACAACACATAAAGCTACATCAGAGAAACCCTGGACTCTCTAAGACAGCAATACCAAAGTAAACATCAACTGAATACACCATTCTTTAAATAGAAATAAATCATTTATATGCATCTTTTACCCTTGATGCATGTTGCTGAGAAGACATTATTAGCCAAAACCGTGGAGATGTTTAGGGGGTCATCATATATGACCCAGGAAATTCTATGAACCATGAAAACACTCCATAAGAAGTTAAGAATGTGAAACCCATAAGTGGATACTAATGCAGTCTGCTATTGGTCCCTGCCTCAATGTAAATGAAAAGCAGATTTGGTGTTGCATTAAAAAAACAAGGTTTATGTCGGAACTAATAACACTTACGGCAGAAATGGTCTTGATTAGAAAAAGATTAACCCTACAGAGTAATTTCTGAACTGGACTAATGAAAATGTTACTGGTCAGGAGTAGCACATTTCTCTTTTCATATTCTTTTAAATGTTCTTTTAAATGTCCTAAGTTTAAAACAGTAAGTATAATTAAAGCAAGCAAATAAATAAAAATAACTAACACACTCGTTTAAAATGGTGCCCAGATGACACATAATCTTCCACATTTCAAACATTTCACTTTTTTTGTAAAAAAGATTTAAAACAAAATGTTCCTTACCTCATTTTGAAGGGAATTCAATTCCAGATTTTTCTCCAGATTTGCTTTAAAATATTCATCTGCTTCTTTCCTAGTTTCTATGAGTTGCAGCTCTAGTTCCGCTATCTTCTGGCGCAGACTAGCGACCTCAGCAACATGGCGTCTGCCCTGGGCACCTAGCTCATACTGGAGCTGGTCTATCTCAAGCTGCTTTTCTCTGGGCTAATAATTAATCCTCATGCTTAATCTTTTTTAAAATATGCAATTAAAAATAATGCAATGACTGGTGTTTTTGCTTTTTTACTTTAAATACAAAATTATCTGAAACTACTTTTTGGAAATACAATTGCAATTTACAACTAATCAATATGATTGACTTTTTGGTCATATATGCAAAGTAAAAGAAATTATGAATAACAAATATAGTTTTTTAATACCACTGTTACAAAAGCATCTTAACACAATTAATACCGCTGATATTCATTTATAAAAAATTCAGGCACAAAAGCACTGAACTCTTGAAAGAAAGACATTTGAGTTAATTGCCATACAATATATACCTGCTTGGACAGCTTATTTTGAGAAGCCTCTTGAAACTGTAGTCTTGCCTGCTGTTTTTTCACCTGTGCACTAAGTTCCACCTTTTCTCTTCTTAAACTGGCTGTAAAAGTATTTGAATGATAAAGTATATAAAATTGGATTAAATGATATCAAGTTTTTCGTAGTGCATCAAAGAAAAAATATATGAGAGAGAGAGAGAGAGAGAGAGAGAGAGAGAGAGAGAGAGATCCTTTAATGAACTATTTTCAGAACAATTTTGCTTCAATGTCAAGCAACATAATTATTAAAAAAAAGGTTTCAAAGCTATGTTACCAAAATAAAAAAGTCAAAATCTTTATTCCCTGTACGATATTGGACTGCTGATGCAAAGAAAAAGTTTTTTGCTCATCCAGAATACCACAGGCTTACCAATCACTCTCCAGACAATCACTTAACATAATTAAAGTTACATACCTATGGTATCATTTAAAGACTGGATGTGAGAGCGTACAAGGGCATTGTCGCCAATAGATTTCATGAGGAGATCTTGGGCCTGTGCTAGAGGTGGGTCTTCTCTGGGTTGCTGCTTGGTTTGGAGATCAGATTCTGCATTGCGCATTTTACTCTTCAGGCTACGGACCTCATCTTCTAACATTCTAACATATTCTGCAATAAATAAATAAATAAATAAATAAATAAATAAATAAATAAAACAGGCGCATTTTACTCATCAGGCTACGGACCTCATCTTCTAACATTCTAACATTCTACGATCAATCAATCAATCAATCAATCAATCAATCAATCAATCAATCAATCAATCAATACATAATTAAATAAAACAGGGAAAGTCTAAAAAAATGGCCTGGGGTCAATCTCAATCTCAAAAACATCAACTTAAAAACAGATACATTTGGCAAAAAAAGTCCAAAAGCTGCAGGTAGTCAGAAAAATCTCATTACTGATAAATATAGAGTATTTCCTTATCTTAATAAATATAATTTATTTATTTGCATTGAGGTTTCAGATTAACTGTAAGTTTAAAAAAAGAAAAAAAAACACTCCTCTCCTTCTTTATGATGCCAACATATATATATGACCTCATACTTGGGATTCATTGCAATAAAATCATAATAGGGCCATACTGAATACAGTGCTCATTGCTTTTTTCATTGTATTTGAATATTTAAACAAAACCTTATTTTACACATTTTGATATAACTTCAGAATTCATAAATGATTATTGGTAGATTCACTATTATATCTAGAATAACACTGACTGTTATGCAAAATAAAACTACAATAACCACAGCATCAATAACCCATGACCGTTTTCAATTCCTGTGGTTAATGAATAACAATTGGCATAACCAGTGCAAATCAGGAATTAATTAAACTGCAATATATCTGAAGGTGTTGGGGATTTTGATAACCTTGATCAATTGTGAGATATTCAAAATATGAAAGCTAATGAAACTGCAGTGTGGAGACTCGTATTGTTATTATTATCACTCTCACTATTACAAAATATATCACAATGACAACACACCAGGAAATAAATCATAGATTCTTACATAATGCCTAACTTTGACACTAACTATGTAGGAAACAAAATGCAGCTTTTGCTGTTTGAAATTCAAATTATGATTTAGCATGTTTTTATAATTCTAATAATAGTCTTAAAGGTAACTTTGTAGAAAGATCTTGTAGACAAGAATAATCAACCACTTTTTTCTATCAAATTTATGCATAGAATACCACAGCCTTGAAACTAACAACTCTGTAGGCCAAATAAAATGCAGCATTAACATTATAACCAAATTAAAATAGTGACATGCATCTTGAACTATGAATTTAAACAACATTTAACAAGTGCGGCTTGAACCATGCTACGATAGCTGAAATCAAATGATTCAGAGAACCACAATTTTAATTAACCAGACCCAGACATCTCAATCTCAGACAAATAAACATTGCACGTAGTTATGCACATTAACTGGCTAGGTAATTAATAAACAGAAGCGCCTTGAATGTAATTACCATATACTGACACTCTTCAGGTTTTATTTTAATGGCTCAGTTTATGAGTCCAATGTATTATTTAATCAATCCAAGGAAGTAGATATCTATCTTCTTCCTTGATTAATCTAAATAGTTAAATGAGCTCCCCTGTTGATTAATGTATTCAAAGCACAGAAAATCTGTACTATAATACACTGCTACAGTAATTTAAATTACGTCACGCGAGTCTCTAGTATTAAGGAAATAAAAAAATTGAGAGATCATAAAATAAACCTTAAATTAAGATTTCAGTTAAAATGTAAATGAGTAATTCAATGAGGAATTCCATCAGTGGTGTTCAACACTCAGACAACTGCTAAGATTCCACTTATTGTTTTCCAATGTTTTAATCTGTCAAGTCACCTATACCACTTCAGGGAATACTGTTGCACACCTCAGGTAGAGGCTTTGTCAACAACAACTGATAGACAATGAAATACTGGAGCACAATAACAGTGTTCATACCTATGGTTAGTATTTATGCTCATTTACTATTATAGTTTCTTCAAGCAACAAATGAGTATTTCTCATATCTGCCTTACGTTCTCTATAAAAAAAATTGTAATATTACCTTCAGTGACTGAATTGCCCGGCTTCTGCTTAACTGGCTCCTGGTCTCCAATATTCTCCATTTCAGTCCTCATCTGCCTGATCACTGTTCTCAGTTTTTCATTCTGTGCCTGAAGCTGGGAGATCTCTTCAGACTCTGACTGGGTTGGAGTACCATGGACAGCCGAGGTCTGTGGAGTGGTAATATTAAATATAAATTATATGCTTCAGTTCTGGGTTTTCCTTTTTATATATGTTTTTTTATACATGCTACTAAAAAAATAAATAAATAAAATCTCATCACTAGTAAACATGAATTTTCAATTACATTTTTTCTGATGATCTTTTTATTAATTTTCCTGTCCCAAAATATTTATTTACTTGTTAATGTGATAAAATCATTTCCTTCCTTATATTAATCATCAATCTATCTTCTAAAATTAAATGTAAAGGAGATCATATCGATGTGTAAAGTTTCAAAAGCAGCAGTACACACCATGATACAAACAACTAATTTGAATTTCTCTTTTTCTTCCCACACTTCAATATTCCCATCTAATACAAGCAAAATCTTAATCAAAATAAATAAATTCAACTAGCAGTTCACACCATGCTTCAAAACTAAACTCATTAGAATATAAATATAAATATTATATATTATATTATATATATATTAAATATTATATTATATTATATTATATTATATTATATTATATTATATTATATTATATTATATTATATTATATTATATTATATTATATAAATATTATATTATATTATATATTATATATATTTTCAAAAAAGCATACATCTATATTTCTATCCAGCACCAATCCATGCTGTTTCAGTGTTGCCAGTGCCTGGTCCCTGTCCCTGGTCAACACTCTGATCAAACTCTCCCTCTGTTGGAGTTCTCTGTCCTTCTCCTTCAGGGTAGCAAAAGCCTGTTTAAAAGGAAACAATAATCTATATGTGTCACATATAAAAGTAGTATGAAGTTCCATCAGTAGAATTATTATATAATAAGCACAGATTTCAATCTTACATCCAGGAATGTGAGGTCTGATAAAACTTGACAGATGTAGTCATTATCAAACATTACATTGACCGATGACAAAATTGCTTATTTTCTTTTTTTTACCTTTTACAAAAAAAGACAAATATTATCAACAATGTTGGATGCCAGTGATGCTGCAACTTTTGATGTTATCTTGCAGGACAGTGACATTCAGGTATTAAATATTTATTAACAATTATTATCTGTTGAATTTGGTCAAACTGTTGTTTTGCAGACCTCAGCCAAAGACAACAATCTGACATTGTTTCGTTGTTCACTTCTAAATCAAACCTTTTTTTGCAAATCACAATATCTTGTATCTAATGGAAAATTATAATTTCAAAGAGGTTTCTTACAAAGTTATGCATTTATAAGAACAAAATCAACATTCTTCCAGTAGAGATCTAAATGGTTAAGGCTACATAATCTACAGATAATCTACACACAAAATGAATATTGAAAGAAACTGAATTCAAAAGTTTTTGGAAGGTTGACTTTGTGTCAGAAAGCAAACTGTTGTAAATGTCTTAAAACAATGATTCTTGAAAAATTAAATTATTAGAAAAAGAGAGGTGTTGGAAACTTTATAGCAATCGCCGAGAGCACCAATTCTCCTCACCTCATCCCTAGCCCTAGTCAGGTTTTTCACCAGGTCCTCAGAGCGCTCATACTGCAGTCTCTCCACCTCCTCATATCTCCTCTGCCAGTCCAGGTCCAGCTGAGCCTTGGCACGCTCCAAACTGGCCTCTCTTTCCACAGCCAGGGTCATCTCCTTCTTGTACCTTGGTGAATAATACATTAATGTCAGTTTTAAAGCAAGCAAAAATAAAAGCACAGGCAAAAGGAAGAGACGGAGTTCAGTGGAGGAGTATATTTGTGATCTTATGTCCCTGACGGGTTGAAGAAATTAAGTAAGTCAGTATGACAAACACTCATGTGGACACATACACTATCACACACACTCACACAAACAAAAACATGATTTGAATTATTTATAGAACTAGAGGATCAGAGAGGCGATACCGCCTCCGGATATTGTACCACCAGCTGGAGTAAGCGCATTCGTATGGACCCCCCCCCCCTCCAANACAGAGCCGGCGGAGCCGGACGAGACGGGTCGGGACTAAAACCATGAGTACCGCCAGCGTACACGCTGGTGGTACTAATAATACCACAAAAGCTGGATCTTTTCATTCTGGTTGTTGTGGCCTACCAATTTGTACCACAAGTTGAGAATGATGTCCTAATAAACACCTTTCAATGCTCTCCTTTTTCTGCTGAAGCTCAGCTTTGATACTATCTTCATTGTCTTTTAGGGCCTGCAGTTCCAAATCCCTGGCGACATTAGTACGAGCTATCTCTGACAATTGGGCATCCCATTTCTCTTTCACGTCGTGTATCTCTCCATGAAGTCTAAAAAATGTAGAAAGCAGTTTGTTTAATTATAAATTAATATTTCATTTATAACTGCAAATGAACAATATTTGAGGAAACAACATTTTAGGCCCACTGGCCACTGGGACACTCGAGTCTAAAATATAGGTACTAGTACCTGAATAAAATTACACCTTTTAGTCATTTGCAACTTTAAAAAAAATACACAGCACAAATATTATCAAGGCTGTCTTTAGCATTATTTTTTGAAGCACAGAAGCTTTTATACCTTAAAATCAACTTCTATGCCAGAGAAAAAATTTCAATTTTTGTTACTTTTCTGCCTGCAGCTCCTTCTCCTTTGCCAGATCCTGGTTCTCCCACTGTAGACGTCTGCTCTCCACCTGTGCCTGCTCCAGTTGTGTTTGCAGCTCACGGATGTTTTCCTGCAGAACTCTCTCAGTCTCATGGTGACCTTCTTTGACTTTTAATAAAGCGGATTCCTTCTCTCTGGCATATCTGTCTCTCTCTTCAAACCTTATCAAGTTTAATGTTAATGAAGATTATAAGATGAAGTTTAGTACAGTTGGGCTAAATATATCCTCCAATGTTTCCTAAATCTTTTTCAAGACTATATTTCGAAAGACATGTAGACTATGTTTCAAAATGAGTAGCTAATAATGTTATTTATTGGGACAAACCATCCATTTTACCAAATACTTTGGTGCTCCTAAAATTATAATAGAAAACTAAAGAACATTCTAGCTAACATTCAATCCAAAGTAAATTATCATTTGAATATGTCAATGTCACTTCTCAAAATGTAATACAGTCACAAAGTATAAAAAAAACTATACATTTTTCTACAGGTCAGTAATGGGATCAAGGCCCTATGAGCAAGGGTCAAAACTTCAAACATCATAGAAAAAAACATTATCATCTTTTGAAATATTCACTTTAATTTTTCAACACCATTTCAGAAGGGAATGAAAAACATAATTCTTCACCAAAAAGTTCTTACTTTCTTTGAAATTCTTCCTCCATTCTTTTGACACCAAGTTCTGTTTGGTGCAGCTTGCTCTCCAACTCTTGTATCCTACAACCATAACACAACATCTGAGTTCTATGCCTCTGTTAACAGAGAAAATGTTGTCTACTGATAAATTTTTATTGATATTGTGGAAGGAAAAAACTGGTAAAAAGAAAATCTTCATTTATTCTGTTCAAAACTTAATGTGAATTTACCATGATAAGATGACAAAGCAGACACTAAAATACTAGAGATTGAGGAATGACAGTGATTTTACCTGCTGACTGAAAAAAAAACTTATAGTAGACTAACTTAGCTCATAATAGAGCTGACAATAGTCTTTATTGAATTACCTGGCATCTTTCATGGCCTGCATATCATTAAATTCCCATTCCTTTTCCTTAAACTTTTTCTCTAGTGTCCTGTGATTTTGATCCACGTGGTGAAATTCTTTCTCCGTTTTCTCTCCAGCTTCCGACAACATTTCCACCTCTTTGGTCAACAATTTGATCTACAAAATTAACAGAGACCATTCAAATGAGATGATATAAAATGACCCTTTCCTTCCCCAAAAAGAAATCGGTGTCTGGTTATATAATCCAAGATAAAAAAATATTGTTCGAAGCAGCAAACAAAACAGGGTCATTATACAAAAAGTGTGAACATGTCAGTAACTCACATTTTGTGTGATATTTGGAAGTTTTTATTTACTGCTGATTTGTTGATTTCTTTCAATTACCAGGTATTCTCAGCCAAGAAGTAGATTTTTTTCAATTACTATTTTAATTTACGTGAATTGCCCTAAACAAATGTATCATCAAAATGCAGATACTAACTTTCAGTTCATAAGCAAGAATCTGGCCACTCTTCTCATCCATTTGTGTCCTGAACTCGTGTTCTCTTCTTTTCATAGCCTCATCAAAACCTGAAAGAAATGTGTAATTTAAAATACAATTAAACATTTTTATGTCTTTTATATACTTAATTTAATTAATTTATTTCATTTATTTATACACCACTAAAAAATGGTAAAAATTGAGAAAATTTTTCAAATGAATATAATTTTTCAAAACAAAAGACTCACTTAAATATCTAATGACATTTATATCACTAGAGTTGCTAAAATATCCCATACCTGCAGTAATTTCTCTTTTCTGGACATCAAGTTCACCCTCAACTTCTCGAAGCTGATGTTCCAAATTCCTTTTGATGTTTTCTAGTTGTTCTCTTTCAGCTTTAATCTCAGCCTCTTTCTCACTACAAGTTCAAATTATGTATGATACAGGCCAACTTAAAAACATTTCTTTCTGTAATAAAGCATTAAAACTTAAATATCCTGTCTTCTTTAAAAACCAGATTAACTTCATGAAGACATAACAAAAACAGGTCAAAGAATAAATAAAAATATT